CTCTGGTCTGTTTTTTGTGGCTTGGATGTTGCATTGATATTATAGACTCACACTGGTTATTTTGTCCAGAGGGAGTCTGCGTGACTTATTCTTGGCAGCCACCGTGGAATTGACATGTTTATGCATTTCCCACAATGCTTTGTTGTAGCCGGTTCCTAGATTTTCAGCCACCTGCAGCTGCACTGTTTTCCCTTTAGAGGTAACGCGAGGGTCACAGACTGTGACAGGACAAAAAGCCAGTCATGACCATTTATAATGCACACATTCATTCAAATAAATATTTTTATACTGACATACATCAAATGCGTGTCTAACTTCAATGTTTCTGTAAATACCTGCCTTTTCCTGTGTGTTTCTGTCTAACATTATATTAACAACATAAACTAATGCACTAATAACAATAATATCAAGCATAATAGTAATTTGTAAGCAAAAGGTTAAACAGTGACATTTTCTATGAAAATGTGTAATCAAATATTCTACACACATGCCTTCTTAGCAGAGAAATTGACATAACTACTTTATCCTCCAGTGCCAGGAGACTCTTAGAAGCACCTGATGGTTAGGAATTAAACCATTTTTAATGGTGTATTTGCATCCCCTCGATGACGTTGGCTTAAAAGCAGCCCAAAGATGCCCTAACACTCTCGATTAACCCAAAAGACAGAAGGGATTCATATGCTACTATGGAAGGGGAGCTTCTACTTAAACAATATTTGTGAAAAGGCCCACATAAGTGTCCAAACCAATCTGACTGCTGTTTTTGGATCAGACACAGGTTTTACTTGGAATTAAAGTTTGTCTCCCGGGTGTATGGTTATATTTGTCGATGAGTGTGCATTAGTATGTGTGTAAAGTTATGAATGGATGAAAAATAAATAAATGTAAAAAAAAAAAATATATATATATATATATATATATATAGCTAGCGTAGAGCATGCAAGTATGTAGTAAACTCTCTCTCAAAATAATGCTTTATACCAGTTATCAGGGAGTTAAGTTGAAGACACTAATCTCTGCCAGTTATTTAATACAGGAAGTCAGAGAGAGGCCAGGATTTAACTACAGGATTTAGACAGATTTGAAAAGCTCATGGAATGAGCCAGGGAATAACAAGCCGTGGCCATAATGGGGTATGTGAATAATTTTGTTATATGAAGATACTAAATGTAACAGTCACTGTACACTGATCAGCCACAACATAAAAATTTCCTGCTTAATATTGTCTAGTTTTCCCTCGTGTTGCCAAAACAGCTCTGATGTGCCAAAGCATGGACTCCAAAGGACCTCTGAAAGTGTGGTATCTGGCACCCATTTAAGTCCTGCAAGATGGGGCCTTAATGGATCAGATTTGTTATTCTTCATATGCTCAATTGGATTGAGACCTGGGGAATATGTAATCCAAGGCAACAACTTGAACTCTTTGTTGTGTTCCTCAAACCATTCCTGAACATGTTTAGTGTGGCACGGTGCATTATTCTGCTGAAAGAGGCCACTATGTCGTGGTCTTAATCAGGTCAGATAAGAGACTTTGGCCAGAGTTAACATTAGGTTCTTTATTGGTGAGTTTGTACATAGTAAAGTAGCAGGTAATCCTATAAATGAGATTATAGGCAGAAGGAAAAATAGGAGAACCTATAAACGAAATTATAGGTAGAAGGTAAAATAATAGAAACAGAGGTTTAGGCAATATGCCCAAGACAGGTTGTTTACAGGATATAGTAAAAAAAAACTATAGTTGAAAGTATAGATTAGACACAAGCAAATCAGAACGGAAAGGAAAGGTTTAACCCCTTCAGGACGGAGTCAATAGTGCACGTTCTGATCAAAATAAAACGTAAACAAAAACTGGAATTTGCGCTATATGTCTGTTCAACCGTAATTCACCGCTGTCACATTAAGTGCCCCCACACTTATTATATATCATTTTGTTCAGGAGAAACAGGGCTTTAATTTATCATTAACTATTCATATATGGATAATTTATTATGAATACAATTTTAAAAAATGTGAGAAAATAAGATTTTTTTTTTTAAATTTGTATTTCCATCTCACATTTTAGCTGTGAATGTCACAATACTGTTAGGTTTTACTGCAAAAAAAATGAACATATTTGTAATCAGCGATGTCTCACGGGTACAACAGTACCCCCTATTAACAGGTTTTATGGTGTTTTGGAAAGTTACAGGGTCAAATATAGAACGTTCCATTTTCAAATTGAAATTTGCCAGATTAGTAATGTTACCTTTGAGGCGGTGTGGTAGCCCAGGAATGAGAATTACCCCCATAATGGCATACCATTTGAAAAAGAAGACATCTCAAGGTATTGAAAGTGGGGTATGTTTAGTCTTTTTTAGTAGTCACAAATACTGGCCAAAGTTAGTGTTCATATTTGTTTTTGTGTGAAAAAAGCAAAAAACTAATATTTGGCCAGTGTTTGTGACTAAGTGGCTACTAAGAAACATTACTAAGTGGCTACTAAGAAAGGGGCCTCATTTGCCGTGGGAGGGCTGCCTGGGCTGTGAGGCAGTCCTCCTGAAGCGGAGCACCGGGAAGGTAAGTATCCCGGGCACTCTGGGGGCTGCAGCTGCTACAGCGTTCTATGCCGCTGCAACGGCTTTAAAGCCCAATTAAGGCGGGACAGCATAGAACGCTGTAACGGCGTGAAGGGGTTAAGAACTGCAGGTAAAATAGAAGTTAAGGGAATCAGCTCCCTGTTGGAAGGAGCATTAATAAAGCAGATAAATAACACCTTGCAACATTAGTTAGTAACGAAGTCCAGGTTGTAGTTATGCAGTTCGGTATAGAGCAAGTTGGTTGTGTAGATCAGGGAGGTATAAAGCAGGTTGGTAAGATAAAGCATGATTGTAGAGTCGTTCATGTAGGAATAAAGTAGGTTGGTAACAAACGGCAACGAAGATCAGGTTGGAATGAATGAGCTTGGTATAGTATATCAGTTTGGGTTTCAGCAGGAAGGTAACAAACAAGGTCCATAGGTATGATTACAGGAGCCCAGAACAGAAGTCTTTCTGCTTGACCATCAACTTCATTGTAAAGGCCCTGTATTGAGCAAGGTGTAGCCTTTTGTAGGATTTGTAATTAGACCAGGCAGGTGAGGATGATTGAAGGTAAGATCAGTCCTAGTGGTTATGGAGGCCACTAGTGGTGAAAACTGGAACTTGTTTTAAAGAAACAGAATTAAAGAAACATAAATCCTTGGTTGTCATGATAGGATCCTGACACACTGCCATCAGGGATCATTGTCATGAAGAGGTTTACGTGGTCTGCAACAATCTCAGTGTAGGTGGTATGTGTGAAATTAATATGCACATGAATGTCAAGACCCAAGGTTACCCAGCAGAACATTGCCCAGAGTATAACACTGCCTCAGAAAACATGATTAATCAGAAAAGGCAACCTTCTTCCATTGCTCCATGGTCCAGTTTTGATGCTTATGTTCCCTTTGAAGGCACATTCGGTGGTAGACAGGTGTCAGCATGGGCACACAGTTAACACACAGTTAACCTTAAGTCTCCACATGCATCAATGAGCCATGAACGCCCATGACCCTGATTCTGGTTTATCGATTATCATTCATTCTATTACTTTTGGTAGGTATTAACTACTGCATACCGGGAACACCCCACAAGACTTACCATTTTGGAGAGGCTCTGACCCATTCTATTAGCCATCATTTGGCCCTTGTCAGAGTCACTCAGATCTTTTAACTTGCCCATTTTTTCTTGCTTCCAACACATTAAATTCAAGAACTGACTGTTCATTTGCTGCCTAATATATCCTTTGACAGGTGCCATTGTAACAGTATGTGACGAGACCAATCTCGCCACATTGCATTGAAGAAGCCTGGTTGCTCGCCTGTTACCTTTGGACTATGGCCCCATGTTGAAACGCTTGCTTTTCCCCTGCGAAAAGACGAAAGCCGGGTCATTCGGTGCTTGCCCTGTTTGAGCGGTGATACCCCAGATAGCTATGCCATGGAGCCCATTCGTATAATGAAAGACTATGGGAAAGACTTTGGCTCCATGACAATTGAACTGTATGTGTGTGCTCTGAGCGCCATTCAGTAATAATGTGCGCTCAGATCTGAGCTATCTGGGGATATGTTGAATGTACCTGTTTTGTGCAATGGCTGCACAGTTATATGTTTTATGTGTTTTATTGTCTTTTGCTGCCATGTGTTCAATGGAGTTTTGCCTCTGTCCTTGGAGATAATTGGATTACTTCCCGATTATCTCCAGGATAGAAGACTCTGTGGAACTGGTTTTGGGCAGAAAAGCCATGCTTTCTTTGGTCACAAAGGACTACGATCTATCGTTTGAACCACTGGACCAATTTATGTGAATGTAATGCATACTTTTCAAGTTATGAATAATGTGGAAAAATTGTATTTCTCTGCTTGTGATATTTACATTACCCATTGTGTAAGGTAATTGTATCACAGGCAGAGGGGGGGATTTTGTGTGGGAGTGTCTGAGTGTATTGTATGTGTTTATTGGTTGTGTTCCAAAACCCTGTGGGTGGTACTAATGTGTAAGAATGTGTACATAAGCACAATAAACCCACAGCTCTGTCTGTTCACTGCTTGACCCTCAACACGGAGCTTTGTCTCGTTCTTGGGGGGGGATTTATTGTATGCTGTTCCAGTTCGACTGCTAGGAGTGTAAACCTATTCGTATGGTTTTTCCTATTCGGCTGTTTACAGCATTCGTATGGTTTCCTGTTCCGCGGATTGGTGTTCTGCAGTAGCTGTGCCTGTGTCTCTGGAAGGGAAGATCTACTAAACGGCGGTTTAACCCTTTTATGCCTGGGGGTGCCGTTACACAGTATATAATCAGTTTTCTTCACCTCACCTGTCAATGTTTTTAATGCTGTGACTGATCAGTGTATATATTGCTGATGTATTCCCTTGCATGAATTTTTGCTGGAAGCAGTTATATATTTTATTATTCATATTTATATGTTTTGTTTTTAATAGATGACTTCAATGGAGGAGGAGGGAAGCTTGAGAAAGAGGTTCTCCATGTTGCTTTTGCTATTATTATTTTTATACCATTGTGAACAAATCTCACAACTGCTAAAGTGTGAGCATACCCGTATCCCCAGAAACAGTGTCCCATGAAGCAGGACATCTCTGAGCAGTGTAAAGGAGGCAGGCAAGTTAAAAAAAAAAAAATGCTCCACTGTCAGCACCCGAAGGGGATGGGCCTAACCAGAAAGAATTGTCAGGTCAGCCTGGTGTGATTGTAACAAGACTATCTGCCAATCAAGTAGGCCTGCTCACTAAGGATGGATTAAGCAGAGAGTACTGTTTCAGCTGTCTGTGAACGGTCCTGATGCACTGAGCATGAAAAAAACCATACTTCCATGGTATGGATGGTATTGGTATTGGTCGGTGAAAGTTTAAATCTTGCACCATCAGTATACAAATATGTTTCATAACTGGGTTAAATCATTTATAAGTTTTAATTTTTTGCACAAATGAACATCACAGATATTATTGTGGGCTTTATGGTATACTATTTTCATTGTGTTTTATTATTTTTATTTCTCCAGTGTTGTACAATGGCTGATAAAATCATACTGGTTAATTTATGATAAAACTGACAAATACAGGAGCACTTACAATTATTTATATAACGCTAACATCACAGTCCATACAGATGTTCAAACAGCGACTAGATGTATCCTTGCAAAAACTGAATATTCAAGGATATGATTTTTCAATGTAGGGTAATGGCTTCTTGATCCAAGGATATATCTGACTGCCATTCTGGGGTCAAGAGGGATTTTCTCCCCTAGATTGTTGCAAAATTGGAAGTGCTTCAAACTGGGTTATTTTCCTTCTTTTGGATCAACAGTAAAAAACAAATGTGAGGAAGACTGAACATGATAGACTCATGCCTCTTTTCAGCATATGTAACTATGTAACTATATTCTGCAGCCCAGGAGTAGGAGGTTGTCTGGAGTCCTTAAACGGTAGATAGGTTGTAGGTGAGGTCTGTTCTACTATAAACTACTATAAACTATATAGCCGACTGCAGGACATACAAAAATGCGATACACTATTACACATGCAAGCACACATAGAACCACACAGGAAAGTGATTAACACATGCACGCAATGTAAAAAACAATGACATATATGAATGAGATATGTGGTTTATGTGTGAAAAGAGGTTTGTACTTTATAACAACAAAACACACATCGCCTTTCACTAAGTGGCAATATAAAATGTCTAAAATTAGAATCAAATAGTTTTTCTTAGTGCCATTCTGTGGACAGATATGAGGTCACCAGTGTGAAGGCAGACACAGATTTAGAAACAGCTATATATGGGCAGGGCAGGCGTGGGATGTGTGTTTGTGTGGGTTGATTTAAACATAGCTATGACCGGTATTTATATATAAATATTGGTTCTTCACTATGTAGATTGTGGGTGTAGTGTTCACATTTTCTGTTAATTTTTCATTCAACTGACTCTAAAGATCAGCCACGTAAATGATGTAAGATATATATCAATATATATATAGGGTACTATGCTGCGGAATTTGTTAGTGCTTTATAAATAATAATAATAGTAGATCACACATTTAAAAGTGAATAAAGAATAATAGAAAAAAAAAGTACAAAGCTGCCAGTCATAGATGTTGTCATTGTTTTGAATATACAGCAATCATCAAATTCAATAAATGACAGTGTTTAAAATTCAAACAGTTCTTTTCAATAGTTTTATTTGAAAACAAACACATATATACAAATTAAAGCTGTTTATTGTTAAACATAAGATTTTCTTCACCCTCCTCACTACTTTTTGCTAGAAAGACCTGTTCCATTATGGTATGCATGATGTTCTTTATTTTAGCAGGGTTATTTACTGACTGTGTAATATCAGCAATCTATATTGAATTCAGAATGAGTTTAAAAATTTAGACCAGTGGTCTGCAACCTTTTAGCACCCGAGGCCCAGCAAAAACAGGAGAAATATTTAGCGGACCGACATTAGCCAGAAATAAAAACCAATGGTATGTGTGAGGGGTGCTGTGTGTGTGGGAGGGATGATGTGTGTGGATGGGGGGCAGTGTGTGTATGGGGGGGCAGTGTGTGTGTATGGGGGGCAGTGTGAATGTGTGAGGGGAGCAATGTGTGTGTGGGGGGGGTGTTTGTATGGAGGAGAATGATTGTAGGTCTGTGGGGTCGGAGGGTAGATTAATAAATGTATTTATATTTTTTTTATTAGAAAAAAACAAAACAATAATTTTGATATCCCACTCCCTGCTTACCTTTGCCTGGAGCTCCGAGCTTGCGAGAGGAGAACCCGGTGGAGCTGCAGGTTATAGCTCCCCCTGGTCCTATCTCCCTCCTCTGCCGGCTGCAGCATTACAGTGCTAGCGGGCCGGAAAGGAAGATCTCTGATCTCCCCTCCTGTCCTGCAGAGCCAGCACGGGAGAGGGAGGCACGGTTCCCGGTGCTATGATCATAGGACAATTAAATATTAAGATCATAGCACCGGGGAAATATTTAATGGCAAAAGCTTTCACCCGACGGTATAGTTGGGGAAAGCTTTCACGGCCCAGCAATAAATTCTTGCGGACCGTCGCCAGTCTGCGGACCAGTGGTTGAAGATCACTGATTTAGACCAAAGCAGTCGAAAAAAACACAGATGACAGTGAACTGCCCCATAAAGCATTGTGAAAGCTCATCATTAAACACATTCAATCTATGCTAAGTTCACTAGGACCATGTGCAGAGTGCTATAAAATCAATCTGAATCTGCTCAGACCTTAACGGGGCCAGCCACTTTGATTGGCAGTCAGCTTGGCATACCTTCACTCTAGGTCAACATACCACTTTTTAGGTAAATACTTTTTTTATATAATACATAAGGGCTGGTATATTATTATCCTTAGAATGTTTTGGTTTTTTTTTTTATTGCCGTATATAGCCTTTGTTTCATTGGTTTCTTCAGAAGTACAATATTCACAATGTATACATCTAAGAAAAAATATTAACCATTTCTGTTGGGCTTTCTTACTTTGGTATCATTATATCCCTCTGTAATGGATGCTATCTGTCTGCAGGCACCATCCTCCAGTCCTTGTTCAAACATTAATAAAAACCAGTGGTACCAGAGCCATCTGCGGCTTAGCATCTAGACATTGTATTATTATGCATATGAGCCCTGCTGTTGTGGGATATCGTTCTATCTCCTACCTCTCTGCCTACTATTTGCAAGTGAGTCCTGCCACTGTATAGTGCTGAATTACTGCATACTTTTTTGACTTTAGTGTTACTGCACCATTTGGTTTATGTGGTCTGTTTGCATTGTTTATTGTCAGTGACTCATTCTTTTTTTTTTTTTAGTACAGTGGCTATCTATTTTGCTTTCCTTTTGCCATGCAGAACCACTCACCATGACACTGGTGGCTCACCTGCTTCTGATGCCATGGAGCTGAAGGCTCACAGGCCACTGTAATGCCAGTTGAAAGAAAGTCCCACTTGGGAGCCTAAAGACAAGGGCAAGAGCAAGGTGCATTCTGCCTCTGAGTTAGCTGGGGATTTGTTTTACTCCTCGGTTAAGGAGGGTTTGGATAATCTATAACACACCGAGGTAGTGATGGACAAGTGGAATGCACATGCTTTCGACTTGGACGTGGATTCCCGTTATGTCTGTGAATCGTTCATGGGTGATTGAGCAAAACTAGTCCTGTATATGCTGAACCATAACATCTAATGAAAATCAGACAATGGATGCATGCAAGAAACAAAGTATTTACATAGTTCCCCCTTGTAAAAAACTACAACCCGTAAGGTGATCCCCCTAAGTCTGGTACAAAAGAACGGGGATCTCCCTACTCAGGCTTTATAAATGTGTTATACCATTGAGAGATCACCTTAAAAAATATCCTAATTGTATTAAGATGATACAACGATCAATCTTGTGTTTAGGCTTTTGTATGTACAATTAATTGTATAAAGTGACTGAAATTCATAGTCATCTCATCGCCAAAAAATACTTTAAAATGTATCATGTGGAGCCCTTGTCTCAGGTGTATGTCTATCTCAGTATTTCACCTTTAGTTCTTTTCCCTTTTCATCACTCATACAGAAAAAGATCAAGAGAATGTCAAAGCTGTTAACAATGCTAACATAGTCCGTATTAGGCAAAAAGAAAAGAGAACGTAAGGGATAAAGAGAGAAACACTTTCTTCCTCACCTTTTACTTAATAGATGTATATAACTGTGAAGTCTAAATTCATAAAGGATACTTTGACTATAAAATGTCAATGGCTGTACAGACCTACTCCATAATTAAAAGAATTGGACATCAGAGGGAACTTTCTAATACAGAAATAGCTAGATCTCTCACTTCTAATATACACTGCATTGAGATACACTATTATTATTGTTATTATTATTGCCATTTATATAGCGCCAACAGATTCCGTAGCGCTTTACAATATTATGAGGGGGGATTTAACTATAAATAGGACAATTACAAGAAAACTTACAGGAACAATAGGTTGAAGAGGACCCTGCTCAAACAAGCTTAGAGTCTATAGGAGGTGGGGTATAAAACACATTAGGACAAGAAATATCAATCAAATAAGGTGGGAGTGAAGCAGAGCTGGAGGAGAGAGTATAGTGCTGCCCTTTAGGACAGGTGTGTAAGGTAGGGATTACTCTGGGAGGTCATAAGCTTTCCTAAAGAGATGGGTTTTAAGGCACTTCTTAAACGATTAGGGGAGAGTCTGATGGGGACAGTCTGATGGGGGTAGGTAGGCCATTCCATAGGAAGGGAGCCGCCCGCGAGAAGTCCTGCAAGCGTGAGTTGGCTGTATGGGTGTGAGCAGAGGTCAGGAGAAGGTCACGGGCAGAGCAGAGGGTCCCAAACAAGAAAATGGGATACAGCTGTGTTATCTACAATAAACATTTAACAATATATACTGAAGTATCGTCAAAAATAGTAAGAAATGCACTCAAAGGATACTGAATATAAAATCACCTTAAAGGTGCCTCCTTGGTGGTTGGGGGCCAAAGTGACCTCTTCCTTGTAGCGCGATGCAGGAACAGAAACCCAGGTTACAGGTCAGATGGTGGTATAAAACTATTTATTGTTGACAGCAGTCAAATATATGAAATGAAGAATAACTATATTAAAAAAAAAATTGGTCCTAAGTGTTTCATTCTAAACTAGAACGTCTTCAGGGTCCTCTTTCAGTAAAAACACAATCAAATGCTGTGAAAACACAAGCATTTTTC